ACTCAAAAGATTACAACTCTTTTCCATAGAAATAAATAAAATCTATTATTTTTTGAATAACAATAGATATATTTATCTTATTACAATAAAAATCTATTACTTTTGGACACATATCTCAACTTAGTGTTCTTGTTAACATATTTGTTATTAAAATGTTAATATAGTTTGGGTTTAAATTATTACTTTGATTTCCAGCTTAAAAGATTTCATCAAATACATTAATAACAAGTAATCTCTCCATTCCATTTCGATTGCATAAGATACATCCATCACATTGAAGAATTGTGAAAGACAGAAACGACAATTAATGATAAGTAAACTATTATTCATTCGTCTCCTTGATATGTAAGAATAACATATTTCTTAATACCATTTCACATATTAAGTTTAGTGCATGTAGATTGCAACGAAAGACAAGATGGAAGCCTCGACAAAAGAGCTAACAGAGGGAAAGGCAGTGAGTGGCATCAGTGATAACTATTGCAGCAGGTGCCTCGTTAGGAGCAACTGTGGTCGCCATGGCAGAACTCATGGAAGCGGTTGCAATGAGGGCGGAACATGTGATCTTCTTCATCTCCATCTCTAGTAACGATGTACGTAGAGGCAAGAACAGTAAAAAAACCTGTCTTGGGAATGAGAATAAATCACAATATCATACCTCTGCGTGTTAGTTGCTGCCTCGTGAATGAAGGAGTTGGTAAAGGATGAGATTTATAGTGGTTTTGTTTCGTATTTTTGGCTAAGATTCAAGCAAATTTCTATCATGTATTTTATCATGCTATATTTAGTTTAAGTCCATTTTCATACGAGGACAATAATTCCTAAAAATTAGGATCCCTGTGTGTAAGACCAAGTTCACACAATATTAGTGTCAAGAAACAAAATAAAATGATTTTACAGAAAGTAAATGAGCTGAATTTAAAGATTAAACACGAGAATTAATTTGGCCCAAGTCCAGAAGGTTTGGCTACCACTTCGAACGTCTACATTCCTCATTGAGCATCCAATAAATCAAATTATGCTCGGTTGCACTAAATAGGCCAAAATGGCAACGAAGGTTACAAGAATTTAGCCAATACATAGAGATAGCAAAAGAACAATTATCAATCAAAAACAAACAACTGATCTATGAAGAATCACCGAGAATCTTCTCAAAACCCCTCTGAAAATAACAACTCTGAAGAACCCTCTCGTTCTTACAAATATTCCTCAGAATGTCACAAAACAGATGCTAAACGTTACAGGTCGCAGTTTGCAAATCAAGAATTTGGGAGATAAAAAAACAAATATGGAAACCCTAGCTGTAGAGAGACTTTCTCTCGTTACTTTTCTCTCAAAAACCAATAGCCAGAAGATAATGAATCGATTGAATGCAAAATGAAATGGCACACGAGAGATAAAGCCCAAGAACCATACAAAAGCAGTAGCCAACAGTCAAGATTGAAGCCACGTGTCTCAATCAATTAAAAACTGCTTTTACTGATAAAGTCTCATTTCACAAATGCGATTTCAACTCAGATTCTGGAAGCACTTTCAAGGTTTGAATCCAACAATTTACACCATGCTATTAGAATTTGGGACTATAAGTATTGTCAGGAGAAATATCTCAATTTCACTTTTCATTTGCTCTATGTATCTGTACATCGTTTACATAGAATTGGTAGATAAAAGTTTCAAACAGTTAACAAACTTGTTCAAATGAATCAGCTTTGTGCCCATATTAGATGGATTAAATTGTGTAACAATTTTGCCAATTCTAAGAATTCCTTTTGAAATCATATCTCTTATAAATAGTATTTAACATCAATATGCTTTGTTTTATCATGAAACATAGGATTTTTACTAAGATGAATAGCATTTTGATTATCATAAAAAATGTATAGCATGAACATCAACAAATCCAAGTTTAGATAATAAACCACTTAACTAAATTCCCTCTGTTATAGCATCATTAGTAGCAACATACTCTGCTTCTGTGGCAGATAGTGCAACATTTTTTTGAAGTTGTGATTTCCAACTTACAACAATTCCATATAAGATATAAAAATAAGATAAAGTTGATCTCCTATTATTCCTATTTCTAACAAAGTGAATTTGAATATCCCTTTAGAGTCATATCATCATTTTCCAATTTAAACATTAAACGTGAATTAGGTGTGCCTTTAAGATATCTTAATAATCATTTCAAGGCATTCCAGTATTTTTCTCCAGGGTTACTCATAAATTTGCTTAATACGTCAATACTATGTGCAAGGTTAGATCTTGCGCAGATCATCAAATACATAACGGATCATATAACATTTGTATAAAGAATACTAGACACTATAGCGTACTCATCTTCATATTTAGGACAACATTCAAAAGACAACTTAAAATGGTTAGCAAGAGGTAAGGTTACAGGTTTACAATCATACATGTTAAATTTTTTTAGAATTTTCATCACATGATCATGTTGATTAAAAAATAAAAAAACAAATTCATTTTTTTATTTCTCCAGATCTGCATGCCTAGTATCTTTTTAGCAGAACTGAGGTTCTTCATATCAAACTTAAATTTCAATTTTAGTTTGATACTTTCAATCTCAAATTTATCACAATTAGAAAGCAGCATATCATCCACATAAATGACTAAATATAAGAAATTTTTGCCTCCATTACCTTTGCAATATAAACAAGTATCATACTGGCTCTTTTTAAAGCCAAGATTTGGGTCAAAAGTATTAAGTCTTTTGTACCATGTCTAGATACCTGTTTTAGACCATACAATGATTTGTTTAATAGGTAGATGGTATTTTTAGGTTCTCCTTTTATAAAACGAACAGGCTATTAATTTCATCTAATTCACCATATAATTAAGAAAGTAGTTTTAACATCCAATTGTTGTTTCTATTTAAATTGAGCAATAAGAGCAAGTAGGCATCTAATAGTAGTATATTTCACAACAGGAGAAAAAAGTTTCAGTGTAATCAACAACTTCATTTTGAGTAAAACCTTTAACAACAAGTCTTGCCTTATATCTAATATTTTTACTCTCTCATTCTCCTCCTTTTACTTTATAGATCCACTTACAATCAATCAATTTCTACCCTTTAGACCTGTTTACTAAATCCTAGGTTTTATTCTCAAGAAGTGAAGACATTTCATCTTCTATGACAAATATCCATTTTTTACTGTCTTTACACTTAATGGCATTCTCATAGGAGTTAGTCTCATTTTCAAACTGTTATTGGTAAGTAAATAAGGAAACAAAGTCATCAGAGTCAAATCTAGTAGAGGATCTGATTTGCCTTCTCTAACTATGTCTCGTGAGTCTTGTGAGTTGATACTCAACAAGGGGAAAAGTTGCAGGATCAGATTGGTCCGTCCGATCAATTTCATGATTATTTTCAATTTCAGAGAAAATGGCATTTCATCAAGAACAATTTCTTCTACAGCAAGCACATGAGTATCTTACTCATTATGGGAAGACTCCACGTCAATTTGAACATCTTTTTCTGTAAAAAAAATATTTTCTTTTCCTTCTAAACATGGAATTAAAAATTCCTTAAAAATGACATATTTTCTAACAATGACCTTATAACATTATTCACATTGCAGCCATAATTTGCAACCTTTAACATTTTCGTCATAACTCAAGAAAACACATTTAAGTGATCTAGGTTTTAATCTACCAATGTTTTGATGGGTATATGCAGTAGAACCAAATACTATCAGGTGAAAATAATTCACAGAATTATTAGACTAAACAGATTCAGAAATAATAAAGTTTAAAGCACTAGTAAGACTTCTATTAACAAGATACATTACCGATCAAAAAATAAATAAATAAATAAAGATATACAACAATTTTGACAACTTTACTTTAAAACAGTTTAGGCAAACCAGAAATTAAAAGCACACGTCTAACTTTGTTTAATAAAGTCTTATTCATTCTTTCAATTATTCCATTTTATTAAGATGTATAGGTGACAGTTCTATATTTCAAAACACTATATTCTTTACAAAAATTATTGAATTTATAATTGCAAAATTTCAAACCATTGTTAGTCCTCAAAGTTTTATTTTGTTATTAGTTTGGTATTTAACTTGAGTTTTCTAATCCTTACAAACAGAAAAAGGTCTCTTATTTAGTTTTCAATGAGAAATCCCAAATCTTTCTTGAAAATCCTCAATGATCAACAAGTAATATTTGAAACTAGATAAAGTGCATGTAGCAGTAGAATCCCACAAATCAGCATGTAAATATTCAAGTATTTGTTTGAATTTATGAATTCCAATTGAAAAAGGCAATTTGACTTGTTTTCCTATAATACATTGTTCACAAGAACTAAAGTCACCAAGATTTAATTTTCCGAAAACTCCTTTTGCAAGTGTAAAATTCTCAAATAAAGCAAAAGTAACCAGATCAAGTAAGGGTTTTTAGCTTTCAAAAAATAGAGGCCATTTCTCTTAGGGGTGCTTATGGTTAAATCATACCCCCTAAGAAATTTAATGTGTCCTTAAGCAAAATTTATTTTAAATTCTATGTTATGTAACATATTTAAGATATCAATTCCCCTTCATATAAGGAACATACCTTGTTCCTTTCAAGAATAAGACATTACCATCGTCTAATAACAATTTTGTAGTCCCTATTCCACTAACCTTACAGATAATATTATTTCCCATTCTGATTTATTTTATCGATAAAAAAAATTGTTTCCCATTTTAACTTGCCCACCAACAATTTTTTCAACATCAAAAAAACGATTTTAATTTGGGCACATGTGGAAGGAACAACCTGAATCAAGTATCTATTCGTCACTTAGTTTCTTCTTTGTATTAACAATGACTAAAGCATTTTCAGTCTTAGCTTTATTATAAGCTAAGATAGTACTCTCATCATCAAATCTCTTTTCTTTTGACTCTTTTTTCTTCTTATAGCAGTCTTTAGCAAAATGTCTTATTTTTCCACATTAATAACATTTCTTGCCTTTAGCATTATCTTTGGACTAATTCTTATCACTCCATTTGTGTTTTATTTTCATTAAAAGAATTAAAGAGATAATTTGGTTTATTAGAAACATTTCCTTTTGCTAACAAATAATCTCCATTTTGACTATTACTAGACTCAGCTTCAGTCTCTAGAGCCTTATATCAGAGGGCATTGATTATTAAATTAGTTGTAAGTTCTTCCTTGCCATATTCTAGAGTAACATTGATGTCTTTTGTACGTATGTCATTAATAGAGTTTAACAAGACTACAGCTATCTAATTTTTTTGAAAGTTTTTTATCACAGTTGGCTAAATTTTGGGTAAATTTTGTTAATCTATCAAGTTTTCATCCAAATCAACTGAGGAATCCATTATAAAATAAAAGAAGTTTTTGATAGAAAACTGTTTGGTGTGGTTTTAGACTTTTAGTCATATATTTGGACTGAAATTTAGCCCACAATTCAGAAGTAGTTTTGGTTTCACCCAATGTTTTGATCACATTTTTAGATAAATACAAGAAAATAGTGTTCTGTGCAACTTCTTCAAATTTAGATTTCTTTGCAGGAATCAGTTCAACAAACCAACTATCATCTAATGCTTTACCACATCTCACGTGATATAGTATAAGACAAGATACATATATTTATCAAATTAGAATATGAAAAATTTCAAAAGTTAGTTTTTTTTTTTTTTTTTATAACGAAAATATCATTTTGTAAGTGATATTACATTTCAAAGAAACACTTTTAAAAATTATGAATAGAAATGTTATAAGAATTGTGTTCGTTCATTGCACTTGTTTGCGCTTGTAGTTCTATCGAGACTTTCATAGTAATAGTTTATTTATTCTAAAAGTAATAATTATGTTACATATTTAACCCTAATATCGGGAGGTGGAAATGAAATACACGGTTTAAAGTGCGTTTGGTTTGTCGTCTTAAGGTCATTTTTAGTTTTCTAAAATATTCAAAACGTATTTGGCATATAATTTTCAAAAATGCATTTTGGAAAACAAAGAAAATTTTACAACATAAAACTAAAAATGACTTTTGAAAATACTAAAAAATCTCAAAACAATGAAAATTAAATTAAAAAAAAATTCAATTAAAATAATTAATGAAATCATACAAAATCTACCTAAATACCACTGTAAAATTTATATTTGTTGATTACATATTAGCATAAAATTGATATGCCTTACTAAATAATCAAATTAATTTTAAAAAATCATAAAACTATTTGTAGAATTTTTAAACCGAACTCATTTTTTTATTTTTTTGTTTTGAGAAACAATTTTTCAGAATGACAAATTGAACGTGTTTCCTACAATTTTAAAATAATCCCTCAAGATAGAAAACAGAAAATAAATTCAAAATTGAAAACAAAAATGCAAATCAAACGCATCTTTAGTTTCTTTATAGGGTTACATTTTGGGCTTTGCCTATCAAATTTTTCTGCTCTTATGAGCGTCATGAACTCCCTTATTAGGATCGAGATATTCAGTTTGAGATCAGGAAAATTGGAAAAAAAAATAAAAAAATACTATTGTAGATAGATGGTCATACGAGGAACGTGATTCTGCTAATTAATTTTATTTGATATGTTGTATCAATTATTAGTGTTGACACATAAAAATTCTGCCCAAATCGAACAGCCCAATTGGAGGATCCCCAAAATCAGATAGCCCAAAAAACGAAGCACAATCGAACAAATCAAGATGAAGGCCCAAATAAGGAGGCCCAAAAACGCGGTAACACCATCGCCCAAGTTTGCAAGTCGCCCAGAATCTGAGCGAATGGAGTGTCATACAGTCGCCTAGAGCTGTTACTATATTCTCGCCCAAAAATTCAAGTCGCCCAAGGTCTTAACAAACATAAAGCGTCGTGGTTATCAAGAAGTGCAGTCATCAAAGCAGTTATTAAATCAGCCCTATCACGTTCCACGATTCAAGGAATTCAATCGAAAGCGGTTGAACGATGAAAAGTAATGACAGCAGTTAAAAGAGGCCATTTTCATGACAAGTTGGCCATTACAAAGAAAGTGGGCAGTTATAGGACAATCAAGCAATTTTTAGGGCGGTTGATCACAAAGAGATCGTCCATGAAGTATAAAAGGGAGAAAGGACATAGAAGTAAAGGACCGAATAAAAAACTCTCGAACAGAGAACATGTAATTTTCATTTCCTTAGCTTAGACTTAAACACTTTTCTTTCAGTAACTCGTGTGCTTGCGCCCCTTGGAGGCACTTTGTTTCTCATTTTCAATTGTAAAGTCATCGCCAATAAAAGAACGCCCATTTTTGGGATTTTGTCTCAAGAGGTTTGTCCCTTACACAATCATCTGATCTTTTTTAATTGTTAGCAACTAACCCGCGCGAAACAATTTGGCACGTCCGGTGGGACAGTGGTGTTAGGTGTTGAAAGTACAAAAGGTGAAACAATATGCCTCAGAGATCCGATAAGGAAGCAGCAAGTCAGGGAGGAATCCAGTCTGTGATCGAGCGATATGAGGAGCAGCATGCCTCTCCACGAACAGATGGACAGAATCAGAGCAGTAACAGTCGTTACGAACCAATGACGAAGTTGAGTCCTCGAACCATGCGTGCATTACTTGGAGAACTCACGCAAGACGTCGTTGAACAGGTAAATCTTCGAAATATTCATAATATGGAAAGATTTACGCAAAATGGGAATGTACACTATGACAACATGGCCAAACAACTAAAGACATTAAACGAAACAATGAATAAGTTAGTAGGCCAAATATGTCAACCGGCTATACCTCTTACAAACCACTTTCAAATTAGGACAATTGTGGGACATAATCCCTCTGTCCTAAATCCGAATCAAGGGGTAGAACCGCTTTCTGGTCCCTCTACGTCAAACCAAGGAGGTACTACAGTGCCAAATCAGAACAATGGTAGTAGTATGCCTAACTTGGGGGGTAATCTAAACATAAGAGATAATGTCCTGAACAATGGACAGAATATTCCACGTGTTAATGAGGGAATAGATATTCACGCTAATGGTAATGGCCATAATCATGGTAATTTTGTTGCCAATCAAGGACCAAACACCAGGCCTCATGCAAATCAACCAGTTAACCAACTTGTAGGAATTCCATACGACCCCAACGTCATGTTGAGGAACCAGATTATGGAAATCGTACAGGATCAGATGGCTTTTGGGGTGCGTCCCGTCATTAGGCCGACATACACAAAGTCATATCCTGATTGGGTAGACCAAGCATATCCATGGCCTAGAGGATACAAAGTGCCAGAATTCTCACTATTTACCGGTTTAGGAGAGGTGTCTACTTTAAAACACATAGGGCGATTCACATTGCAAAGTGGTGATTTAACCGATTACCATAAAATGAGGCTTTTCCCTAGTTCGTTGACAGGAGTAGCTTTCTCCTGGTTCATTAACTTGCCAGCGAATTCTGTTCAAACATGGCAACAATTGGAACAGTTATTTCACGCTCAGTTTTATAAAATTGAGTCTGAAGTCACTTTGGCTGATTTGGCGAATCTACGTCAAATGCCAAACGAATGAGCAGAAAGTTTTCTCCAAAGGTTCAAGACAGCAAGAAGCAAGTGTTTTGTACCTCTGCCCGAAAAAGAATTTGTCAAAATCACTCAGGGCTGCTTGAGCTTTGATTTAAAGAAGAAATTCCAGGACAAGAAATTTCCTGACTTTTTCCAGTTGAGTGCGAATGTGATTAGATATGAGCAACTGATAAGAGAGGAAGAACAAATGAAAAATTCTAGTAAAGGAACTTATTACAAAGACCCAAATTTTGACGTTCATACCATCGACGACGAGTCATACGATCAGGCCGAAATGTGTTTGGCCGAATTGGTCAAAGGGGATACATATACTTGTCCTATAATGGCCAAACCTAGACCATCGGGCAAAGATGAGCCCATAAAAGATGGAAACATAAAGGCTAGAACGTTCTCGTTCGATGTGACCAAAGTTGACCTTATATTTGATAAATTATATAGGGATAAGCAGATAAAGTTGAGCGATAAGCACAAATTGCCAAACCCTGAACAAATTAAGGGTAAAAAATATTGTAAGTGGCATAATGCATGGTCGCATTTAACTAACAATTGCTTGGTTTTCCGCCATGTATTGCAGGATGCCATTGAATCAGGACGAATTATGTTCGATGATAAGAAGAAGATGGCAGTGGACGAGAATCCTTTCCTACAGCCACTTGGAGTAAACATGGTGACATCTGGATTCAAAAATAAGTTGCCAAAATTCAAGTTGGTCGTCGATGATGGAGAAGAGGATCATGGACCACATCCCAGCGTCTTTGAACGAATCAAGGGAAAAGAACCAAAAAAGGACGAAGACGTCCTGTGTGCAAGGTGTAAAAGAGAAGTGAACGGAAATACGGAGAAACCAGGGACATGGCAGCATCCTCATCACCCTACCTTCTTCCCAAACACTCAGCCTGGTAGAGGGCGAGGTACGTCATTCTATAGAGGACCACCTTTTGAGAGGCAGTTCAGGCCAGCAGATAATGAAAGAACATTCAGGCCGCAACCTCGTCGGCCAAATGTATGACATTCATTCTAGTACAATGCAGGAAGGACAATACCCTTCGATGAGATGACTAGGACCCAACAAAGGCGTTTCCAACGAAACTACGGATGAATGATGAGGCAGCAACAGGGAATGCCACATCCTAAAGTGCCTAAACTACTCAAGGTAGCCAATCAAAATGTCCTCAAAAATAATGAAGAGACCAGTACAGATGAATCAATGAAGGAACTACCAGAAACTTCTTCTGGGAGATCAAGGTTTGAGCGAGACAGAAGGGATGAAGAAGATTCAGATCAGCCCCTCACTATCCAATTCGGTACGTTGCCTCCTGTCGTGGTCAATAATTACTTACTGGCTAATGAATTCAAGAATAAAGAAAAAGAAGAAGAGAGAGAGGACAACGAAGGAGAGGCCTGCATGCTGGTATGTGAAGAAGGCCAGACTTCTAGAGAGGCCTACAACGATGAAGAGGACGACGGGATGACAGACATTGAAGAAGAAATCGACTTAGAAGCAGAAAGAAGAAAGAGAGGAGTATCGCGCAATACTCTATTGAAGCAACTACGTCGAGAGAGAGTTCGCGAAGTAGACTTGTTGGAGG